AGGTCATGGAATGCCTGTGGCTGAGAGACTCCCACCTCAGCCAACTGGAGGGGACCTGTTTTCAGGGTTGTCACTCTAGCTATTGTTCCAAGAAGCACCTCCACCCCAATCCAAGTATCCCCCTAAACCAGAACCTCCACATGACTGAGCAGACATGGGGTGTGTTCTCCCCAAGGGCTTTCCTTTGGCAAGGCATCCATTTTTCTTCTGTTGCCAATAAAAGTCCCCAGCACTGTTCTTTCTCCCTCGCTACCTTCGATTGCTTCTGACAGAGTTTGCCAGTGAGCTAAGGTCAGGATTTCCTTTTTACAAACAACCTGCTTTCAGTCAGTGGGGCCAGAGGTTTCCTAAATTACAAACCCTCTCATTTCTTCTGCCACAAGTCATCCTGTCAGTTCGTATAATCGCACAGAACGGAGGGAAATTGGAAGGTTCAGAGACACTGAAAGAAAGAAGTGCTCTTTCTACTTGATGCTTTTGGATCATCGGAAAATCATCCTAAGCAGGACGGACAGGACTGTTCAGTTGAAGCTTTTGTAGCATGTAGGGAAGGTGCCTATGTCTGGGAGGAAATAACAAATCTTGAATGAATGTGCAGTGTCTGTCATCTCTCCATTCTGTTAAGCAAATGGCCACCTTTATGCCCATTTGAATTGGGAAGCATCCATGCCGTATGCAGATACTTTGAAAAGCAAATGTAAAGAGTTATGAAATGTGTGTGTGTTTGTTTTGACATCTGTAAATGCTCATTACAACACAAATTTTAAACCAAACTCTGAAAGAGTGACATAGGTTTGAGGGCTCAAGGTGGAAAAAAAACAAATGACACGCAGACATCAGTGGAAAATTGTACTAACTGCGGACAGGACGCCAGATATGCCTTGAAAACTGGAAGGGGACACCTAAGCTCGCCCCGTTACTTAGCAATAGATCAGGGATGCAAGGCCACCTCTTCCTGGCCTGAGAGCTCCTAATCTTTTCGTGACTCTGCGTTGTTGCCAAGATGAGGAGTTGGGGTTGTGCCTTTGCCTTATGTTACTGTGACACTCCTCCCACCCCCACACACCATTTAACCCTACTTTGTAAATTGTAAAATAAAAGGGACTCAGCTAGGTGCTACTTAGAACTACCATGTTAAGTGTAGCTCAGTGTAGAAGCATCCCACAGACAGTGAAGACTTCATGTGCTAATGCAAGTGCCTAAATGCATGATCTCAATCCTTTCTTTTCTTTTTATCTTTTTTCTTTTCCAAAGTGTGAGTGTGAGGGAAAATGACAAAACACACCCCCCTCCCACACACACAATGGGGTGTGGTCATAACCACAATCTGTTCTCCTCCATTACTCCCACCTCTGGGGATTTGGGGCATGCTTACACATTTGCCTAGAGTGTTTCTCAAGCTGCCAGGTCCAGGACTTGAACTGTTCAGTCAGCCATGTGGTATCTAGCTGCTTGCATCACCAGGCCATGGGCTGGCCCATACTCTTTTCTTTCTCTCATGCAGGAGGAACAGTTGTGCTCATGTGTAGTAAAAGCATAGCCTGACCCTTTACTCTGATAAATGACCATAAATGCTTTGACCCCCTCTCATGGCCATGCCACCCTCAGTCTCAGTCCTGTAGCCCATGGCTCTCTTTGTCATCCCTTCCCCTTACCCAGCTCACTGCACAGCTCACTCTAAGCCACTCTTCTGCTCCTTCCTGTTCCCTGCTCTGCTCGGCCAGCTCCCCCCAAGTCTTCAAGTCTCAGCCAGATTCAGTCCTCCAGGAGAGCATATTCTGCCTGCCCAGGCCAGTTCCACCCCTCACCTCCATCTGAAGTATTCATTGAGCTCTTTCTAAAAAGCAGTGAATTCTTTCACAGCCACTGTCCCAGTGCTGAGGTCAAGGACCACCTTGTTCAGCTTGCTTTTGCCAACAGGCCAGAACAATGCAGTGCACTTCGTAGGACCTGTGCACTCAAGGAGCTGGTTCTTTAGTTGGGAAGAAAAAAGTTTTGTGTAAAAATTTAGCCAGAGTAATAGTAGACATTAGAGAACCTGCCAGGCAGTACCCCAAGCACTTTGCAGACCTTATTTTGTTCTCGTAAGAACCCTCTCAAGTAGATATTATTGTTTTTCCCTGTTTACAGATGGGAAAACTAAGGCAAAGAGAAGTTACACCACCTGGCCTGCTATCATGGGGGAGTTGGGATTCTAGACAGTCTGGCCACATAACTAGGAACTCAGGATCCTACCCAGTGGGCTGTCCTGTGTACAGTGGTGTTGAGAGCCTCTGCCTTCGGGGCGTGTAGATTCCTTATGTCTCCGTATTCACTCCATCCAATCTATCGCCCAGTCCTGTCAAGGCCGTCATGGAAAACAAACCCAGCCTTCCTTTGCTAATTCGGATCTGACCACTGCTCGCTTGGGCTGCTCTGATAGACTAATCGTTGTTCTCCACATCTCTTGCTCTTCTGTAGTTCAATCTCCACCCAGCAGCTAGAGTGATCATTTCAGAGTGAATTGGATTGGGCCACAGCCCTGCATAAAACCCTCAGTGGCCTCCTATTTCACTTAGAATAGGTTTGGACGGTCTTCTTTCCATGACCTAAAGGTCTCCTGGTCTCCCGCCCTTTACAATGTCATCTCCTTCTCCTCTTGGCCCCGTGGGTGTAGTTTTCATGCCTAGAATCTAGAAAATAGATTGTTCTGTTTGAGGGCCTGTGCCTGCATGTGCTGTCTCTGGTCTTCACATGCCGTAGTCAGGTCTCGTCTCAGTCATCTCCGTTCTGCTCATTCTATCCAAGAAAGCTTATGTCTGTCACTTGCCCATGTTCTATTTTCCACAAAGAACCTCTCTGACCTGAATGTATTTCATTTTCTCACTCACTCATGGGCTCAGTGAGTCTTTATTGAATGGAATATGAACTGCCAATAAAGGTGTAAACAGGGGGTGGGAGACGTTTAAGAGAAGGAGCAAACACTGCATGCCACAGTGGAAAGAAGGCTCTGCAGAAGAGGGATTGGAGCTGGGTGTGGTTTGCGTGCATGGAGGGTGCAGAGGCCACTGGTGACACTACAAGTGCCTAAATGCACTATCCATATTCTTTCTTTTCTATCTTTTCTTTTCCAGAGTGTGAGCATGTGCACTGGAGACAAAGAGGGAAAACAAGAAAGCACATCTACTCCTCCACAGTGGGGCATGGTCATAACCACAATCTCTTCTCCTCCATTACTTCCTCCTTTGAGGATTTTGAGCACCCTTACACATGTGCTTGGCACACTCACAGGCCAGAATGCTTACGGGGGCGTCGGTCCATTGAGGAGCCTAGTACACTAGCCTGGTGTGCCAAGGATTGGCTTTCTGCAGTAATGAGAGATCATGCTAAGAAGGTAGAGACTGTATTTAGAGGTTCTGGAATACTGGGGGAGGGGATCTGAGCTTTAATCCATGGTCAAAAGGAGGCCTTTTTTTTTCCACTTTGACCAGAGGGAGTCATGTGAGAAGTGGTACTTTAGAAAATTCATCTTTTCATACTTTCTTCATCTGAGACCCAAAAATCCCTTTACCTCTCCCTCCATGTCTCTTTAAAGATCTTCCCTAAACTCTTTATTCTTGGGATGTCTGAGTGTGCACTGATAGACACTTCATTAATTCATGCTTAGCCCAGGGTGTGCATATGAAATACACATGGGCCTGACAAATGGGCTGGACGGCTGCGTGTTTGGTTCTCCTGTGTTTGTATGCATGAATACTGTGTTTCTAAG